CTTTAATAGTCACCCAACTAGGGGGGAGGGGGGGGGGGATAGAGTTACGCGCGCGCTGTTTCAGGAAGCGATAAATTTGCTACACAACTTTTTGACGACCGCGCCACAGAAGCACAGGGAAGAGAGGGGTTTTGATAAGAGTTCCTACTTTTAACTAATTGGCGATTAGTCTCGGAGGCGCCGTGAATTATTTGTAGCGCCAGCCGACCCGCGCAGCTCTTGCGCCGGTTAAACCTCCCGTGCTCGCCGCTGAAATTGTCCATCTGCATTCTCTGGATTTAGATCAGCCCGGTGTATATCGGGTCCCCGGACCATTTTAGACGTTTAAATTCTCACTTGTGTTTTTACTCGCTCGTTAGACGCCCTTTTTATTCCGAACGAGTCTCGACGCGTTAGCGAAGAGAGACCGATCCGTTCCGTTATCACCGAACATATTGTGTTCCTCAAGTCGGTCCTGGGCATTGAACCATGCACGTACTGGAAGGAGCACGCCTTTGTCCTCGAGCGACCGGAGATCTGTGCGAGAGAGATAGTTGATTGGCTGTAGTGCTATCTCTGTCTAATTACGTTATAGTAGTCACGTGGTTCGACATACTATTGATTCTGTTATTGACTTTTTGACTATTACTCACGCACGGAAATCTTATTTCTTTAACGAACGGCAGAAGGATGCTTTCAGCACGAAAGCGTTCAAGACGAACCCAACTTGCATCGGATCTTAACGTACCGCAGATTTAAACATATCCACAACGTGTCAGGTCAAATGTTTTTCGCCGCGATAGTTGACGCTAAAAAGATGACAACACGGTATCAATTCAACCAGTCTGCTATCGGCTATTACCGCGATAGAGGTACACGCTCCTGCGCTTTCCAATATGTATAGAGTTCAATGGTCCTGTGCATCGAACTATGTACATACCGGAAGGAGCGCGCCTTTGTCTTCGAGCGACTCAGAACTGCGCGAGAGATATAGTTGATCGGGTATCGTGCTATCTTCGTCTTAACTACACATATAGCAATCACGTGGCTCGACGTACCACACACGTTCTGACATTTACCTCTCAACCGTCATCCACACACGGAAATCATATTTCTTCGAAGAATGATAAAGTGATCAGTTTCAGTATGAAAGCTTCAAAAACGGAACCCAACAACTTACATCGGCTTTTACTCTACACCACAGATTTAGATATATCTATGTCGGGATAAATGTTTTCAGCCATTAGTTGACGCTGAAAAGAGACACGATACCAATTCAACTGTCTTTGTCTGATAGGCTGCTACCGTGGTGAGGATACGCGCGTGCGCTTTCCAGTACATATACGCTATTAACCATATGTATCGCCAAAGTTGGAGGTACACAGTGAAATAAAAAAAACCCTACGTAATTACGAGGGACATTTCGAAGCACCTACTGCGAAGTACCACTAAATTTGGAAATGCTGGTACCTCCAAATTCGAAGTACGTACCTCGAAATGTACCTCGTAATTACGTAAGGTTTTTTATTTCAACGTGCACCTCCAACTTTGGCGATATATGGCTGACGATGTTGGATTCAACAGTCCTGGATAACGGCGAAACTTTGTACGCGAATGGAATTCGGAGAGCCTCTTCGAGAGTCACCTGTATGCCTGCAAATTTGACGCGATACCGGCGGCATGACGCTTTGAAAGGCGACAAGTATCCGGGTCCATTCTGATTTGTCCTTTTCACCGGCGGGGTGCTTGGACGACGCGTCGATCGGCCATTGACACGTGACTTCAGCAATCGACGTGTCCGCTCGAACCTATTCGAATACCGTTGTCGTGAGATATTTGTATACCGATTGTCGAAGTAGTTCGCCGCGAAAGTGACGCCGCATTACGCTCCGTCGGCCATGAAAGCACCCCCCCCTTCGACCTTCGTGAGACTTTTCGAGGAAATGAGGAAGGGAACCGCGCGGAGGGGCCACCGTAAGTTAACTATTAATTAATCTAGCCACGGGAAACTCGCCATAATTAATTCGATCGCACTCGCGTGCGTTGTCGCCTACGGAGGCGGAGGATGCCGTTTGATCTGGTGGTAGCTGTACACACGCACCGCCAAAAAGTAACAAAATCGAACGCGCTCAGTGAGTCGGGGCGAATTGTTCGATCGAGGATCCGAGAAGCGAGATCATGGTAACCAAACAGTTGTTGTTCGTCGAATTTGGATACGATCGTTAAATTTAGCTTCATTTGCATCGTAACTCGAAGAGAGAAGTTAAGTTCCATCGTCATTTGCGCGGCCAAGGCGATCGAGTCTCGTCAGAGCCTCTTTGACCGCCGCCGCTTCTTCCGTCTCGCAGATTCTCCGCTGAATCGATGTTTTTTTCTCAATAACGATTTTTTCTCAATAACGAAATATCACAATACACCGGAGTCTTTTTTCCTGAGCGGCGTACTGAAAACGGAAATTTACTCGTGGGACGAGTATAGCCAATTAACATGAAAAATCGTCGGTAGTTGTGAAAAAAAAATATTTCCTTCTCGTCGGGTAAACTTTGTTCCGATAAACAGAATTCCGATTGACGGCCGAAAGCCGAGTGAAAACTGCTCGAAAATATTCGCACGAATTCTCATCGCGAGAAGACCGAGTTCAGCGAGACGAACAGTCCGCGGGCGAAAGAAGCGGCGGGGTGATTCTGCGACAGCCTGTATATATATATACGAGATTAACGAAGAGGAAGCACCGTGGACGTAACGTGGATTGACAAAGGCGAAACTGAGAGTCGCCGAGCGATCTGCATCGCGTCCGCGGGGGGCGAACGCAGGCACAAAAACACCCCCCCATACGTATATACATCTATCAATGTTTGGAATGTTGGGATTTGTTTAAATAAATACTTAAAAGATTCAAAGCGTATATATATACCGATGGCGTTCTGATTTCGCATTACGTCCCAGCGTTCCCGTCCTGTCGTTTTCCTTCGCTACGCGCGTCTCTCTCATCGCTCTTCTCTCACGGAATCACGTCTCTCACCAAGTTTCCTTCATTATTCGAACGAGCTCCGTCACTCGAAGAGAGAGAGAGAGAGAGAGAGTGAGAGATCGAAAAACGCTATTCCAGGCATCCTCCAGGCAATTTTATCGCAGAGCTCCCGTATTTTCAGTGGCGCATCAAGAGGAGATTACTCACAAATTTAGTATTTATCAAGCAAAATTACGTTCCCATACATTTATTTCACTACCTATAATAATAAATGTTTATTCGAAGCGAAGCTGAGGTAGACATATATACGCAATATTATACGGAAGAGAGGAATGGCTTCAGCAGTTAAATTATTTGTAACATATGGACACCTGTAGCTTTAGCAGCGTGAATAATTTTAATTGCTAGCAAAAGAGTTCGCCGCCGCAGCAATTAACATTGCTTGTGCTGCTAAAATTTTAGGTGTCCATATTACAACTAATTTAGCTAATGAAACTGATCGTTTTTTCCGCGTGCAAATACAGCAATATTATTATTTCTCAGTTTTCTTATTAATGCTATGCAAGGAACATGTGTAAAAAGCGTCATTTTCACACGCGGAAAAAGAACTCAATTCCTTGCAACGGGCCAGAAACCGGATGGAAACTGACAAGAAATGAAAATTCAGCGACAAAAAGTGATATCTCTGCGTTAAAACTCGGTCGAGACAATTGACTGAGCAGAAATTCCTTCTGTAAAAATCTTTCCGTTTTCACGGCCGAATTTTCGTCCGGTCTCCAGGCGAACGGAAAATTCAGTCACACCAACGGACTTGTTTCTTCTGCTCCTGAATGGTCAATCATTTTATAACTGAGCCAATAATTAGGTCACACTTAAATCGATACATGGTGCAAGTTTCAACAAAAAAAACTCATTTTATGCTACAACTACCTTGAGCAGATGCGCGCGCTCGTCGAGAAGGGTGCCAAAAGTAGGCAGCACCGACCCCCGCGGTAACGAGGGGTGCGGACTGGGTAACGGGGTGGGGGGTACAGAGAAGCGGCTGCGAAACAAAGTAGGGAGATCGAGGGATTAGGGTGCACGGAGCGGTAGACGTTCGCTCACCGTGCACCACCCTTTCTTACGCCTGGCGCATTCGTATCGACGTCTCGCGGTCTTCCTCTCTCTCTCCCTCTCTCGCGAGAGGGTGGGTGGCCGAAGCTCGAGCTTTAATAGGGTGCTTTCCGCCTCTCGTGGAGCCAGGCAACGAGATCCGCCGCGAGCTGAAGTATAATTAGTCATGCCATACAATACCGGTGGCACAGACGGAGCGCATAACTATATATATATATATATATATATATATATATATATACTCGCCGCGCATCTTGTATCAAAACGCAACCGGTACCGGCGCGGTATCCCTGTGTTAATGTGCGAGGTGAACGGGAGTGTCCAGTAATTGCCGAGACTCAACGAAAAAGTCGAGAGTTCCTCGCGATAAAATGTGAGACGTCTCGAATTATTTTTTTTTCGGAAGAACAACACACACGCGGGCACAACAAACGTCGGCTGAGGAACGAAAGCTCTCTCTCTCTCTCTCTCTCTCCACGAGAGGCAAAGGCCGATTTCGCCGAGAAAGAGGTTTCGGCACTTTTTTTTTATTTCACTTCCGTTGTCGAATCCCGAGGGATAATTTGGTTCTTTATTTCTCTTCTTCGATCGTACTCTATTTTCTATTTTGATCTTCTTTTATTTTGTTTAAAGAGCACCCGGACGAAAACAATCACGTTTGTTTTATGACGCTGCACCGACCACGATACATCGATGGTTTAGCGCGCGCGGCACTCGTGTTAAATGCAATTCCGGGTTGGGAAA